GTAATAAACTATAAGAAATCTTAGGATTAGAAGTTTATAAAGTAAAAGTAATTAAGAAAATAAGAAATACTAATAAAAAAAATAAAATACCTTATTAAATAGAAAAACTACCTAGAAAGTAAAAAGATATAAGAATTACTTAAATACCTTATTAATACTTAATAACTTTTAAAGAACTACTATTAATATTAAATAAAAAAGAAGTATTAAGAAAATTATTACTTAAACCTAAGGCAAATTAATTAATATTATTAGAAATATAATTTACTTAAAGGTCTTAAAGTAATATATCCTTATATATATTTAATTTAAATAATTTTATATCTTATTAATTTACTTCTTAAAGCCTATATTATATAGCCTTAAAATATCTTTTTATTATATAATTATAAATCTTATATATTTATAATAAATAAGTAATAGCTAGAGCTAAATAAAATTATAATATTATTATCTTTATATAAAGTTTAAAAAGATTTTTATTTATTTTATTTTTATTATTTTTTAATTTCTTTTCTTATTTTATAAAACTTATAATTACTAAAGTTACTAAGGAAAATTATAAAACTAATATCCTAAGTATTATTTAATTATATTTATCCTTAATTTATATTTCTCTTATTATATTATCTTTTAACCTAATTTAATTTATTATTAACTTACTAAGTTAGCCTTAGTTTATTAATATTTATAGTTTTTCCTTAAATATTAAAATCTTTTTTTCTTAATTTACCTTTTTCCTTTTTTTTCCCTTCTTATTTCCCCTTCTTTATCTTATAATAGCCTTTAGTTCTTATAATAAAATATTTATATTATTAATTTAATTAACTTAATTATATATTTTAACTTTATAAATTATACCTAATATAGGCTATTATTACTACTTAATATAATACTATTAATAAAGGCCTATTATTACCTTAATATACCTTAACCTTATTTTAAGTAATTAGCTAGGTTTTTTATTACTTCTATTTAGCTTATAATATATTTAATAAGAGATATATTTTCCTTAATACTAAGGAGTTATACTTAGTAACTAAAGATTATTAAATTAACTTATTATATTAGTAGTAATTTATTAATATATAATAAGTATTTTTATATAATTTTATAATATTATAAGAAAAATAATACAAAAATAATATATTTAGAAACTAAAGATTATTAAATTAATTTATTATATTAGTAGTAATTTATTAATATATAATAGGTATTTTCTTATAATCTTATAATATTATAAAAAGAAA